GTTTCGCTTTTATTTATATTTTGATGCAGCCTGACTGTACTCCCATATGGTGATTTAAACTTTTAGTGGTATGGGATTTTTATGCATAAAAGTTGTCTTAATTATTGTACGTTATTGAAAAGTGCGCGTAAAAAAAACTCACCATTCTGAATAACTATTGATCTAATGATTGGATCTTCACGTTCTAGGAGTCAATCTTAATGGTCCGAAGGGGTGACCTCAAAAATGCTAATTAGCTAATGCAGCCGATATTTTAAGTTACGAAATCAGTCACAAAAACGTACATTCTCTGAATAAACATACCTATTTTTTTTTTTTNTCCTTTTTTTTTTTTTTTTTTGTTGACGGGTTCGGATTTCTGATCCCAAAAATATAGGGGGTAGCCGCAATCTCGAAAATAGGGTCCCAATTGTTTTATCAAGAGAGCTGTCTGAAGTTTGAGCCCTTTATTGTTAATTTTAGTCTTCGTTTTTTTTTGCCATATCACGATAAATTTTCAAACGAATTAAAAATTTCTGCGCACCCAATAATAAAATATATTTAGCTAAAGATAATTCCATGCAAGAATAGTTTTTAGTGAGCATCTACGATATTTTATTTTACAAAAGTCGAAAATATTCTGAATTGTAAGGTATACAATTTTTACATCATTTTAAAGAATGTGTTTTTACGTGGCTGAATATAAAAGTTTAGCAAAATCGATCAAATAGTTCCTGAGAAATTGCATTTTAAAAACAAAACTTTTTCAAAATTTGATTTATCGGAAACTAATCGACTGATCTTTCCTATATTTTGTATTTCTCTATTTAAAATTGCATTCTTTAAAATGAATTGTATGTATTACAATTTAAATTTTTTTCGACCATTATTAAATGAAATAATAAAAAAGAATAAATAGATACTAAAAGTTATATTTTGAATGGAATTTTTGAATAATTGTGAGCAAAAACTTTTCAATTCGCTTACAACTTTCTCGTGATATGGCGAAATACGTAAAAATTAACATAATGGGGTCCAAACTTTGGACCGCTCTCCTGACCACACTATTTGGACTATTATTTCCTAAATTGCGGCTACCCCCTATATATCGAGGGTCAGAAACCCAAATCCGTCGAAAAAAATTTATATTTATTCAGAGTAAGTACGTTTTTGTGTCTGATTTCGTAAATTAAAATATCGCCTGTACTAATTAATTAGAATATTTGAGGTCACCCCCTCGAACCATTAAGATCGAGTTGTAAAACGTAAAGATCCGATCATTAGATCAAAAGTTATTTAGGGTGGTCCAATTTTATATTGCGCACTCTACATAATGTTAGTTATGAACATTGTACACATACTACCTTTTTTAATTCGCTTTAAATAGTAGGGGAGAGTGGGGTCAATTGTAACATTTTTTACTTAACTATTTTTAACTAACAAAAAATCCAATATATTATTAGTATTAATTGACAGACGAGTAAAGTAGACTATCCTCTACTAGAAAAAAAAATAAATACCTTATTTTAAATGTTATTATATTAGTTATTAACAATTTTTGACAGTCGTGCACTTGTTACAATTGTCCCCACTTACGGGGTCAATTGTAACAGTTCATAAATTCAACTAAAACATAGTTAATTATACATATTATCATAGTTGTGATATATTTTTTTATTGATCAAAATAGTAGTGATATTTTAGGAGTAAAAATAATAATGAGCAGAGACCTAAAGGGTTAAACTTTTAACTTTAAGGGGTTAAAAATTTTAATTTATGCTGTGAAAGGTGACAAATAAAATAATGCACATGCAACATAATATAAATGATATAGGAAACTATTGGTGGTTCTTAAAGAGTTAAGTAATGGTTTGTAAACATAAGATTATTTATTTTCAGCTGTTACAATCGTCCCTTTACTTATTGTTACAATTGTCCCCAAGACGCCATTTCAGCTTCATTTGTTAAAAACAATGCTAGTTAATTAGCAAAACTAATTTTTTTTTTATTGAAATGTTAATTAAGGTGTCCACTTACATATTCGGTTACTAATTTTTATTTGTTTAAACAAAATTACTTTGTTACAATATAATATTCTAATACCAAAAAAAGTACTTGCGTGGCGTGAAAATATCTTTTGTGATGTAACTCTTTCAAAAGTACATAAAAATGGTTGCCATCAGGGGTGTACATGTAGATTTATTAAATACACCTTGTGCGCCGCCTAGGAACCAAATCTATAACCCGACACTCGAAATTTTTGCTCTGTTACAATCGTACCCTGTTACAATTGACCCCACTCTCCCCTACCGATATTATCGACGAAGAGATATTTCATTATAAAATATTTTAGGAATCTTGAAATCAATTCTTGTTTTGCATGAAGTAGCAAAAACATCACGTTAATAGAATTAAGCTTTCTCCTTTCTATATAAACGTATTCCTGTTCAATAAAACGTTCTTGTTTCAATGTTTTAAACGTAAATTCTAGTTTGTTAAGCCTAATTTTTGTTTAAAAAGTGAGTTAGTTTTGCTTCCAATACTACTTCATTATTTTATCATTAAATACTGAATCTCTCAAAAGTATTTACTTATCCTATCTAAAAGTATTTTTCCCTTTAATTTAACAATTAAATTTTTATTTAAATATTAGTTAAATTTTTTTTTAGGGAAATGAAAAAGTAACTAATTTAACGTTAAATAATAGATAATGTATTGTATTTCTTAAAGCTTTTATTCATATTTATTCATTTATTTATTTTTGTTTGTTACTGCTATGTATAGGAATCAGAATATTTCAGGTATTCAGCTACGCTTTTAATGCATATAACACGGGATGGTAAAACTCTAGATACAAATTATGAATAATAGTTGCTATTACATATTGATGCAGTGTGGGGAGGGGGGGCTCTCCGACTTTTCTGCAATAGTTTTATAACCGTCGTCGAACAGCCCACCCAATTTAGGGTTTACCACTACCAATGTTCACTGACGTAGCCTTGTAAATTTGTACCCGGTTCAGAAGACAAGGAAACTACCGGATCAAGTATTGGGAGAAATTTGCCATCGTGGAGGACCTTTCGATAGAACTAACCCGCATTTGCGTTGCATGGAGGGGAAAGCCACGAAAAACACCCATATTTAGCCTAACGGCAAGAGGACTCTAACCCATGATCCATCTACCACTGACGATATTTTACGTTATATAAAACGTCCAGCCATCGTATCGACCAGCCATTTACTGGGATTCGAACTCGCCTACCTCATTCGTAGGCGAATGATCTATCCCCGAGCCACCACGACTTAGAAGAGTCATGGAATACATAGCCTCAATAAGGTCGAAGGTTTAACCCCCAATTAAATTTTTCAATTTTTAGCAAGTTCGCTTATTTAAAAGAGGCATTTTCTTGCAGAAATAATTTTTAACAAATATTATTATTCTTTAAAAATCGAAAAATGTTTAAATTGTAAGGTTCTTTGCTTTTTTTAAATTTTTTTTGGAGCGTTATTGTTATGACAAATATTGTTCTAATTTTAGATTTTGTCTTTTATAGTTTGAAATAATTTAAAAGTTCCTCACAACTATAGTTATCAACTCGAAACTTTTTCGAACATTGTTAAATTACAAATAAATAATTGTAAAAATTCACTTTCGCTTAAAGAGTTTCTAGTTAAATGAGTGGTGTAATTGTGAGCAAAATTGGTTCGGTTAAACTGTTCTAGAGATAAGGGGACAGTAAAAATCGACTGTTCCAGAGATAGGACAATAAAAATCGAACATTTTGACTCGGCGAATATATAAAAGGGAGTCTTCCCCAGGAAATCGAACATCAATGGGGTAAACAAGACAATAGTTGATTGTGAAAAACGCCCTTGCACTTACTATCTGTCAAGTTTGATTTTGCTCAAGCAAGTGGTGATGTCACAGTGCCTGCTCAGAGTGATGGCGACCCCTCCATCAGAGTTTTGTAACTTGGAATTTTGGAGGATGGATAAACGATACTGTTGCACTCTGTACGAATGGTATACTCTGTTGAGGCTCAGGGGATAAAGCGTTCGCCTCCCATTGTGGTGAACAGGGTTCGAATCCCAGCGGTGGCTGGTGGATACGAATTCCGCACACGGCTCGCACTGACCACAGTACTGACGTAAAATATCCACAGTGGTGGACGGATCAGGGATAAGAGACCCCTTGTCGTCAGACTAACCATGGGGAGTTTTTCGCGGTTTTCCTCTTCGTGTCACGCAAATGCTGGTTAGTTCCCTCAAAAAGTTCTCCCCGAAGGCAAAGTTTCTGCCAACGCTCAATCCGACAGTTCTCTTGTCTTCCGGGTTGTTTTTAAAACTACAAGGCTACGGTGGTGAACATCGGTAGCCGAAATCTCAAAATTGCGTCCGTTGTTTAATGACGGTTATAAAATAAAATACCCTATTGAAATTGAAAATTTTTATGCCCTGTCGAATGGAAATGGAAAATATTTTTTTGGCTATTCAAAAATAAAAATAAAAATTAATTTTTTTATATTAGGCTTTTTGGCCTTATTAGATGACAACACAGCACTGAATGACAGCAATGCTGAACTAGATTCCAACTCCTGGTGAGGAACACCCTAACCTTCCCTTACCTTGAACCCATTAACTTTCATTTGTTTACAGCTTTGAAGGCTCCTTCCGTATTCCTGATTTTTCTTGAGGGGAGAGGGGGGCATTTTGAAGCTTATAAAATAGTATGTCTTAACGTACTTATGCGAGAAAACAAAGACACGCCACATTGCTTTTCCATAGGTGCCAGGCGAATTTTTTCCCCCGTAGTATTTAAACAACGATTTTAAAAAAGAAGAAGAAGAAAGAATCGGGGTGGCCGGAACTGGAAAGCACGAGTTAAGCTCAGCAATGGCAAAAAAGGGGCTTAGCTAGAGATTAGTGAATAACGCCAAACCGACTAAGACGTCCATCGAATCGTGTTATCTTATCACTACAAAGAATAAGATTTTCTTTGGCAATGACGCAAAGGACTCTTTCATATAAATAACTCATTTTAAATATTTGAATAAGAAAAGGTTGTCGAGAAAGTAAGAAAGAAAAAATGAATGTTGCGGGTCCGGATCAGGCTGCTGGATGGGTTATTGCGCTGGCTTGCTTTTTCATCAATTTTATACTGGCTGGCCTGGCCAGGTCAGCTGGGGTTCTCTATGTGGCCCTCATCGAATTGTACGGGGCCAGCAGAGAAGCTGCTTCCTCACCTTTCAGCATCCGGGTCTGCGTCAGGAACATGAGCGGTAAGGCACTCACTTTGTTATTTGTGCATTCTGAATAATGTGTCTGGTTGTGGTTGTGTTCAAATGCAATAGTTCTAAAAATAATTTGAATCCACTTTGAGAAGAGTGAATGCAAAGCGGTAGCTCGGTGAATGCAAAGTGCAATCAACAAAATTAATGGATGGTATGGTACTATTCTCAGTAACTCGGTGAATGCAAAGCGCAATCAACTAAATTGATTGATGGTCTAGTGCTGTTCCCGATACTTTCTCACGATTTGGTTAAAAGAGAGAACTTATTAAATTCTACAGATTTTATTTTCTTTATTTATAGTAGATTTTAATGTCCCTCACTCATTTTAGAAAATAATTTATTTCAAAAGCTTTTTTTTCCTTCCTTTTTCAAATAAGCATATTTCAATCAATAACTAATTTATTAAACTGCATGATTTCTTTATTTTAGGACCTCTGATCGGATTGTTAGGCCAAAAATATGGCATCCGGAAAGTGACTACTCTGGGAGGATTTGTGGCTGGTTTAGGGAGCATATTGTGTTATTTTGCCCCAAACATCACCTACATCACATTGTTCTGGGGAATCATACACGGTAAGCACTCTTTTAAAAACCATTTTTGTTCATATATATATATATATATTATAATCTTCATTTTTAGAAAAAAAATTTCTCTTCTTTTTTCATTATTCTGTAATTTTTTCCACGTTTTCTCTACTTTTTGAACTTGAAAATTATTAATTATGCAATCTTCTGTAAAAAATTCTATGTTGAACTTTTAAATACGGAGTTTTAAAAAATAGTAACAACTTTAAACTTAGTAATTTACATAATAATATTGTCATTAAAAATAGCTTTATATAAGAGGTTAAAGATTAAAATTAGCAAGATAAAATTTTCTTACTTAATTATCAGTCCTAAATTTCCTGAAATTCCTATCAAATTTAGAACAATCACATGTGGGTCTAATATTTACCTAACTAAACGTGGCACCATTTTCTCTAACTATTTAAATAAAATTATTAACAGTATTATTAAAGAAGGTTTTTCTTATATTATCACTAATAAACAACCGATTTTAGAATTTATTAAGTGTAATAAAATTAATTCTATTGCGACTTTTGATTTCCAGGATCTTTTCAAAAGCATTCCCCTTTCTAAACTAATTAAACTAATAACCCCTTTCTAACTAATATATTCTTTTGAGTCATTACTTTGATTTTTTAAAAATATCCTTAATTGCGATTTTGATTATTCGCAAATTCTAACTAATTTTCGTCTTTTTAATAACTAACTTTACAATGAAAAACATATTTCTCTTCAAATTGATGGAATAACACAATGATCTAATTTTTCATCTCTCTTAGCTAACATATTTTTACACTAGTATGAAAAAAATTATACTCTTAAGTTAATAATTAAGTGCTATATAAAATCATTGAGAAAATTGTATGTTATTATTAATAAATTTACTAAAAACCTCTTTGTTAGTTTATATTTTTACCATGTGTAAATCCAATTTTTGCAAAATTCTTAATTTTGGTGATTCACGTTTACATTAAGAGATTTGCCCGAATTATAAATAAGCCCGAATATAAATGATTTGTCCGAATTTATATGGTAAATTAACAAAAAAGTTTTTAGGTAAATTTATTAATAATAACGTACAATTTTCTCAATGATTTTATATAGAAATTAATTACATTAGTTGGTTTTCCGTTGCTTTTTTTTAATCAAATTTTGAGAGTTCGTATGTTTGTTTTTCGGATAAAAAACATTACTACATATTCCTTTAATTCTAGTCATTTGATTAAAAATGTTATTTAAATAAATGTTTTTCGAAACATTAGAATTCCAAGAAATTAGTTTATTTATATAAAAATTAAAATCATTTTTTCAAGTATAATGTAAGTATGAATCGCAAAATATAAATAAATAAATTATAATGTACATAGAAGACTGGCGAGTGTAGTTTTTACCTGTAATTTTTACTGATAGCGATATAATTCAACAGTTTGTTACATTTTATTTATTAAATGATTAAGTTTCCCTTTTAAAAATATTGTCAACGTGTCTTATACATTCTAATCTGAGTATATTTTGAAATGTTTTTTTTTGAAATTTTATTTATAAAATTGAAAATATTATTATTAAATTAATATACAAGTGTGGAGAAATAATTAGACCTATTATTTTACTGTGCTTTACTGTAACCCTTCAAATTTATATAAATATAGTGATATCAACCAAGATTTAGTTTACATAACTTAATTATTCTTATTACATATTAGCATTTGCGTTTAACGCAGTGTAACCTCTTCCTTCCTCATTGCTATCCAATTTTTCGTGATTTACAAAACACGATGATTTATAAAAGGATTGTCACGCTAAGGGGAAGACAGTTAATACTATGGATGTTTTCTGTATACACTGAAAAAACGATAGCGAATGTTAAACTCCTCCTCCCCCAACCATTTCAAGAGCAGTGATGGTACAGGGGCTAGAGTGCTCGCCTTTCAATGAGGTAAACAGGCTTCGAATCCCAGCCAGGCCTGGTCGATGGGAATTCCACACCCGGCTCTTCACCGACCACAGTACTCATGTAAAAAATATCCTCAGTGGTTAACGAATCATGGGTTGGAGTCCCCTTACCCTTAGGCTAACCGTGGGAGTATTTTGTGTTTTTCTTTTCCATGTAACGAAAGTGCGTGGTCAGTTTCATCAAAAAGGAACTCCCTTGTCTTCTGGATAGGGTTCAAAATGACAAGGCTACTGAGTTGAACATTAGTAATCGTAAACCCAAAATTGGGTCGGCTGTTCAACGGCGGTTATAAAACCATCGTTTAAAATAAATTAAGTATTTTTTGTCACTTTAAAAAACATAAGTGCTTCATAACCGTCGTTGAACAGTCAACCCAATTTCTTGAGTTTGCGACTATTAATGATCAACTAAATAGCCTTGTAGTTTTGAACCAAATCCAGAAAGCAAGGGAACTTCTGGATCAAGTTTTAGGAGAAATTTGTCTTCGAGGAGGACTTTTTAATGAAACTAACTCTCATTTGCTGTTACATGGAGAGGAAAACCACGAAAATCTCTCACGGTTAGACTGACGGAAAGAGGACTCTAACTAATGGCCCGTCTACCACTGAGGATATTTTACGTCAGCATTGTGGTGGGTGCAAGCCGAATGAGGAATTCATACCGACCCACCATCGCCGGCATTCGAACCCGGTTCACCTCATTGGAAGGCGAACGCTCTATCCCCAGAACCATCATGACTCTCTTTACGCTTATTAAGTTAAATGCATTGAAATAATACATAGTATATGCTTTAATAAAAGGTTGACTAATGAAAGGATTATTTTCAGGTGTCGGATTCGGCCTATCTAGTGTGATACACATGATGATCATCGGCCAATACTTTGATAAATACAAAGCATCCGCACTAGGCCTAGGGTATTCAGGTGATTGTTTTGGATCATTTGCCTTTCCCTCCATTATAGAACTGTTACTGAAAAATTACGACATCAAAGGGACATTCCTAATTCTAGGAGGTATAGTTTTGAATGTCGTTCCAATGGCTATGATACTGAAAAAACCTCCATGGTTGGAATCGGACAAAAAGAAAGGTACATTTCAAAGAAACATCTTAGATCAACAGGAATTTCATGTAGAAATCGTTTCTAGCGATAAAAACGGTTTGTGTGACAAAGGCATTCCAAACGAAGCTTTTGAAAGTTCGAATGAGGGTCTTTGCGAGACTGCAGGTGGGGAAGAGGACGTTACCTCTATCCATTCGAACAATGCTGTTCCATTTCAGAACCCCTCCAGGGTGTACAGGCCTAGTTTGTCTTCGTATTCTTCTCTTCGGAGTCAATGCATCCGGAAAAAAACCTCCGATTCGTCAGATTCTTGTCAAGAGAACACCGAAAGACGTGGCTCACTACCACCGTTATTCGAAAAAGAAGCTTTTAGCGTAAATCACCAACAACAGAAGGAACCAGAAAGTATCATCCAGGAAGAGGATGAAAAGGGCGACGGGAGAAAAAGTAGAACCACTTCCAATTTAAGCCAACTGGCCTACGACATTGTACATCGCGTGAGGACTGCCAGTTTTGCAAGTCAATGCACTCAAGATGGATATGTTCCTGCTATAAATAACGCAGACTGCACCCGTGACAATACTGACGAGTTGACCCTAAAACAACAACCAATTGACGAAAAGCCTCCAGAAGAGGAAAACATGTTGAAGACGTTGATGCGAACGAATGCCAAACCGATTTTCGTCCTCATCAGCATGTCTTTGGCTGTCTACGTCTTTCTTTTTATCGGTGTCTTCACCGTTATCATAGATTATGCAACGGACTATGGCATTTCCCAAGACGAAGGAAAGTACCTCATCATAGGCTTTTCCGTGACTGATCTTATCGGCCGACTCAGTTTCGGACAAGTGGTGGACAGAAAGTTGTTGAAGACGAAAAACTATGCGGGGATGACTATGGTGCTGATGGGGGCTTCGATGGCCATCATGCCTTTCAACAGAAGCTTCTATTTCATGATGACCTGCATGTGTGTGTGCGGTCTGATACAGGGAGGGACAGCTATTATGTTCCCCATTCTTGTCACCGAATACATGGAAAAGAATGAAGAATCCATCGCTATGGGGTGTCTGAATTTCTATGGAGGACTTCTTATGTTGCCTTTATCATCAATGATAGGTAAGTACATTTATTATTATTTTTTAAATTTTACATGACTATTCTTAACTTTCAACAACCCTTATTCTTATACACCATCCGACCAAAAGTATTCGGACAATGGACTTAGAGCATCCTAGGGCACTTATTAATATGATGTTGGTCCCCCTTTTGCATCGATGACAGCCTGCACACGTCTGGGAAGACTTTCCAACAGTTTTTGAATAGGACTTCCACCACAGCTGAAGTGAGGATTTGGTTGGCTACGTCATCTACTCTCTAATTCGTCCCAAATGTGTTTTATGGAATTTAGATCCGGGCTCTGAGAAGTCTCAGTCCATGGTTTGAACACCCATTTCGTCAAACCACGTCTGTGAGGCCGGGATAGCCTGGTTGGTAGGGGACTGGACCCATGTCCAAGAGTTCGTGGGTTCGATCCCAGCTTGCCGAAGAATCCCCGTGTCGTAAATGGTGACTGATGCACGTTCAATCTGTCGAGTCTCAATGTCCTCCATGTTCCCATAACACATGAATACTGCTGGGGGTACTGATCCAGGAGCTTTGTCTTCTGGATTGGGTTCAAAATGACATGGCCACGGAGTTGAACATTAGTTGTCGTAAACCCGGCTGTTCAAAGACGGATATAAAATATGAAATAAAACCAGGTCTGTGCAAGGCTCGCTGTGTGAATGGGGCAGTTTTCCTGCTGGAGGAGAAATGGGCCTTCCCCGAAATATTGCCATAGAGTTGGGAGTGCTTCATTGTCCAGAATGTCCACATGTATCTCGGAGTTCATGTTCCCAACCACAGAAAATAACGAAACCACGAGAAACAACCCCATACAATTATGCTGCCACCACCATAACAACCGGATGTCCGGATACTTTTAGTGTAGTTTGACATCTTAACTTATTTTATTTACAAGCATATTTTTTAATTTAAAATCAGGTGTAAAAAAAGTGAAAATGTTAAAAAATAAGTTTGGAGTAAGTGATCTCAACATATTTTTTTTTTAATTCTTGCATTCTGACTGGTTATCTGTTATGTTATTATCTGGAATTTCGCCCTATTTTGTCTCGAAAGTTTTTCCGACAGCTATTATTTGATGTGAGCAGGTATGTTTTATACACATCAATGGTGATGTTTTTGTGACAAAGTTGTGGTCAGTGTAGACTGGGGGTCATCCACCAAGCATATCCAGAATTTTATTTTACTGAAACTTTTATTTTTCACATAAAATAACATTTGCTGGTGTTCGCAAACTGAATCAGTGAACAGATAATTAGAAATATGACTACAAGCTGTTCAATAAAACTTTTTTTTACTTATTTCATTACGAATTTACATATTTAATTAGAATAAAAATTTACAGGCTCTTTGACACAGCGTCTTTGATGTGGGTATATGTAATAAACTTTTTTAAAATTAAAGACAAATGATTTTCCACAAATTTTCCAGATGTTCAAAATATAGTAATTTTGTTTCCATCGTTGAACAGCAGACTCAATTTTGGGTTTATGACTACTAATGTTTTATGATTACTAATGTTTTATGACTACGAATCTCCGTAGTGCAGGGTATACCGGGCAGTGGCACTGGACCTTAAAGAAACATTAATGTAAGGAATACCGGGCAAATGTATACTGGGCAGTGGTACTTAACTTGCTCTAGTGGACATTTACCTAAGCGACAATGTGATTGTCAACTTTCACTGGTTCGGTCATTCACAGTAACATAATATATATGTATTAGAATATTATGTTTAAAACCTCTAGATTTAAGAAATAATAGACGAGAAAATAATCTTTTCATTTCGTTTATTTCCATTTAAAGATGCTCTAATATTCATAAAGGAATAATAAACACTTTGATATGATATCAATTTTTTTTTGCAACAGACCCTTTGAAATACTCCTTATTATATAAATACTCCAAATGAAATATTTTTCAGGTTAAATGATTATTATTAAAATGTGTGTAAATAATTATCTCGTTTTGTTTAAAAACAAGTAATTAAAAAAATATTGAAGACAACTCCTACTTAACTCAACAAAGAAAAATTTTATTTCAGTTACTTTTAATGAAATAATTAAAAATTTTTCTCTTATATAAAATTAAAATTAATTAATTAATACTGAAAAAAATCGTATTCACATCAAGTGTCATCCACTACAAATTTAAAAAAATTTATCTGAACTTAACAGGAAGAATAAAAAATATTTTATTAACGAGATTGAAAATGTGAACAACAACTCCCTCTATATGTAAACGTATAGAAGGAGAGTATGAACTAACAGTAGGAATTTAAAGAAGAAAAAAAAAGGCGCGTGGTATCAGACAATTATAAGAGTATAAATTTGGTGACGTGGACCACACGTGCTATCACGTAATGCTCCTTATTGAATTTATATGACACAACGAATATGAAATAATTAAATGTGCTCACTAAACTACATTTTTGTTCAAATAGAGCTAGCTATAAGTTAAAAATTTTCATTGATGTTATTTTTAAAATATGTGAAAAACTGAATTTACTTGTAGTAAAATTTAAAACAATGAGCAACGCTTAACCCATCAGAAAATTCCATTTCGTTTTTTGTTCATCCCTATTTGAGTCGCTCAGAAGCCAATGCGGTTAAGTCCAAAACACAGAAATTGAGAAAATTAATGTTTTCTGATACATTAGTTTTTAAAATTCTTGGTTTAATAATTTAATTAGAAAAGTGTATAAAGTCTTTTTTCGAGGTGTAAACTCTGCAAAAAAANCTACATTAAATTACCTTCAATTTGATATATAAACGTTTGTATTTAAGTGAAAAGTAATATATTCTACAAGCACACAAAGTTGAAAAACATGAAACTTTCAAAAAGTGTCCACACTTTTGGCCACCACTGTATATATATAGAGAGAGAGCAATGACTCCGAGTGTTCAACCGTGAATCAGTTAGTTATCTTCTGGCTAGCATTGAATATAAAAATAGAAGTTTTGGAAAGACAATTACATTTTTCAATGAGTAAAATTTAGAAGTTTGTTGTTACGAATATTCTAAGTTATTTTTTTAAGTTTTACGATTAAGAAGTGTCGCCCGTAACTCAATTCGGGAAAAGTAATCTTGAAAAAAAAATTCCTTGAATTGTCTTGCTGGTGTAGTCACAACGCTGTAAAGAAATGCTTTTTATTTTAAATTACAATATTTATATCAGAAAATTATAAAATCTACATCAAGAATCCTAAATGTTGATTTGGGAAACGTGACTAAGATTAAAATTGCAATTAATGGTTCAAAAAGAAAACCGTTAGTTTAATTAATAAGATCGCCTCAAGTATTCTAGAATTAATACTCATTATTGGTAATAATTTTAAGGAATATTATCTTTTAAATAACATTTAAAAAAAAAATTTTTTGTGCTTTCGCATCTGTAAACAGTTTGATAAACTCTTCAAATCGCAACGTATAACTTTTAAACTAGGTGTATACGAAAAATCGATGTTTAAGATTAAAATCGCAATATTAATAGATTTCCGCACAATGGCAAATATTCAAAATGGTGAAAATCCTCCAAAACAGAAGATTCAAAATGGCGGATAAATCATATGCATGTAAACATCTCATTAACAGGATTTAGAAAACATTTCGTCGGATTATAAGTTTTCGATTCATGCAGTTCGCGATTCAATGGCGGAATTCTGCGATAGTCGCGGAAAAATCACATGCCCGATTACCTGTTTTTAAACCCACTCTCTGGGTTGAAAAAAGGAGTGGATGGAAGTTTGAATACCGAAAAATCGACATTTTGACCTCCAAATCGTATTTGAAACAAGGCTAAATAATCGGAATAAATACGATTTAATCGGAACAGTTATCTTATCAGCTATGAATTGGTATCCTTTCATTCTTCATTTTTACTTAATTCACTCACTGTACCTGAAATTGTTCATGATGACAGTCAGGCTAACCGATTCGAGAGGGGGGGGGGTGAAGTTTATTTTGCCGACTGAATTTTTCCAAGGAACTAAGAACATTTTGGAAATTTCTTCGTAAAATAACTTCCAATAGCGAAGTGAATTTTCCCTTAAACGAACTTTTCTTTGAGATCCACGTTCCGTATTTCCTGAAATATTTCAGAACATTTCAAACTTGTTAAAACTCATTTTATGAGGGAAATGACCTTGAACTGATTATCGAAGACACTTAAGTTTTCGAAAAAGCAGTAAAATCCCGTTCCCTTTTTGTTTGCATTTCAAAAAAAAAAAAAAAACTCTGACAAAATTGACGAATATTATCTGTAAAATTTAAACTTAAGAACGCATGTGGCAATGTTTGTTTAAAATTAACAGTATAATAAATGCAACTATAATTTTATACATAAATTTTGCTTTATTTGGTTGAAAATGTATGCAGCATGATAGTGTAACACTGGATAATGTTTTTCTCTATTCTTGCTTTCCATGCAGATTTCTTTTATATGGTTACGATTTATGAAATAAATAGTAGATACTAGTTTACAAGATAAAGGTGTATCAAATGCTATTTTAATTATGTTTAGTGTTTATGAATTTGAAACCTGTTTTGTGTCGTTTAAGTATTTCAAAAGGTGATTTTCTGTTTAACGAATTTCCCATATTACGAACTTATTATCGGGATTTAGCGACTTCGTTAANTCCACTACTGAAACATAATTCATAACGGATTCTTCATTTTTTTCTTTCAATTCCGGCACTGTCGATTTTTCTACGCCATATTCTGACGCCAATTTACTTCCACTTTTCAATCTTTTTAAAATTTTCGTTTTATCACTTAAGGAAAGAACGATTCTCTTACGTTGCACGACATCTTTCTAGATTCTTATGAAGAGCACTTTACTCAGGTAACTTTACTTTTCAACTAATATATCTTGACAACAGTAAACCTGTTCTCCAAAAGTGCAGTTCGGAAGTGACGTCATAAAAGCATGGTCATTCTACTTATTAGTCATTTTCTAGTTTACATGATCAAACCGAGTTCTGTTAATTTCCTTGAAAAGTAAATAGCTGTGAGAAGTGCACTGTAATCGCTAATCATTAAC